TTCTGATACAGCCAATGCTGGGAATTCGACCATCCATACGATCTTGCTACTTGCCCTCTAGAGTTTTAGGCTACAATTTTGATAATCTTTCGGATGTGTCTTAGGCTCCCTCGATAATACTTGTAGACTTCATGGAATGCATTCCGGTCGTACATTGAAAGAGTTTCGCGGTCATACGAGCTATGTCAACTGCGTCGGCTTTGCGGACGGTCCTGGTCATCAACGCTTGGTAGGTGGCAACTCTTCGTTGGAGTGGGAGTATATGCACATGGTCAACTATCCATGTGTTAGTAAAAATATGAAAACTAGGAGGAACGTTTGGGAATGTAGCCTTAGTTTTTATACACTTCTACCTCACAATGTCGCGAGGAAATTTACGAGCTCAGTTGAGGAAATCAGACATGTATTTCAATCCAGTCTGCGAGTCCCTTCCTCAGGTGGTCAGTGGATGTGCTGACGGCTTCGTGAGGGTTTTCGATCTGCGATCGAGCGAAATTTTACACAAGTTCGCCCCTCCTCCACCAGCATATCAGAATGAGAATATCACCTTAGATGTAAGTTCAAGGTTTCATTTAGCGTCGATTTCAGGGATTGATAACAATAGGAAAAATGATGTTTCTAATGTGATGATGACATTTACATGTGAAACTGATTAAAGAATGTGTTGCTAGCCTTACGTGGAAAATTCAAAATGAGGTCCCCCCCGGGAATACTATAAAATTCTGGATGATTCTCTGTGTGAATTGAACTCACATGATTTGTTCATGCCGTTGTGCATCGCCTTAGGTCCGGGACATCGTGATTGTGTCGAGTTCCTCATCAACTGGGCTGAGTGAGGATACATTACTCATTTGTCAGCAGTCGAGCACCGTCCACCAAATGACTGTGGCTGGTCAACTACTGAAGTCGTATGAGTCTGGTAAGAAGCTGGGGTGATGTCTGAGGAAAACACACACGTTGAGTTTCTATCCGAGGCAATCTTGCCGCAGTGCGCAGTCCTTATATCGGCCGACTTTGTTACTTTTTGTCTTGTCGGCTTGGACCTTCCGGTCGTTGATGATTCAATGCTGATCGTGAATCTTATATATCTTGTTGATTTGATGTGTTATCATTCTCGCATATGAGCTCTTCATTTGGTATCGGCAGGTAAACGCGACGGCAAGGGTGACTTCCTGGCGTTGTGTACATCTCACGCGGGAAGGTGGATCTACGCAGCAGCAGAAGATCGGACAATGTAAGTCAACGTGAAGGAAGTACATCATTCACTTTAGAAATTAAAATTAATTGTTGTCTACACTTCGTTGGTACATCCGTTGGATGCTATCGTAGTGATGCACCGATGTATCAATGGAGTTTACGTGTGAAGTGGCGTAATGCTCTGTGGGAAACCCGATGTGAAATTTGTTTTTCACTAGTTTTTCACTAGCACACAGCTCACTGAGCTTTGTGTAATTGTTCGGGATAGTGTATCTTCAGCAACTAAGTGTTTAAATGCCCGTTGAATTTCTCCGTACTCGATTTAATTTTTAGTATCGCTTTGTTGCTGTCAGTTACTGTTTTGATACTGCTACCGGTGAGCTGGAGAATGTGGTAGCATATGCTCAAACTGGAGAAGTAACTGCGGTTACGCATCACCCGAATAGGAATATTCTAGCTGTTGCAACTTCACGAGAAGGTGTTCATATAATGAGGCCCTAGTCGTCGTGGTACACTACTCCACGTTTCAAATAACTAGCATGTGTTTTGTTTGGTATGACGGGGAATTTGAGAGATTGTGTGGAGGAGAATTGCTGCTGGTTGAGGAGGCAGCCATCGGCTGAGTCGCGCAGGGAGTTTGCTCTGTTGAGCAGAAGTGACTATTGATGCAGTCGAGGTGAATGGTCTCCATCCGATAGTCTGTGTTTCTTATTGGGATGCATCACGGTTGGTAGAGCCCATTCGGTTCCCCACGCCAAAAGCTGCGCGATTTGTATAAGATTTTGAATCTACACAGGGATAGTAAACAGCGTTCGAGTTCCACGCACTGCACACTGCGAAGCCTTTCTGACTCATTCGTTGGAGTTTCACCCGTTTTATGAGAAGTGGCGTAAAACTCTTTGGAAAAAGCGATATTCGCGGTATGTAAGTCATGGAATATGTTTTGCACTAGTGTTTTTCATATCACGGGTGAAACTTCCTAGTACTATCAAAGTTTAGTTTCAAAACGAGTTGCCAATGACGTTGTATAGATCAATGGCGTGGTCACTGAGTGTCCAGTACTAAATCATTGGAGTTTCACCCGTTTTACGTGAAGTGGCGTAATACTCTGCAAAAAACGCGATATTCGCGCTGATATGCAGTAGTCGTGAAATATGTTTTTCACTAGTGTTTTTCATATCACTAGTATCATATCATCATCGGATCATGTGTCGCGTTCGTCAACTATGCTTGTTGAAACCACTGTTCTGCGGACGAGAACAGTGTGATGCAAATCGCACATGGTCAACCACATGTGTTAGTGATAATATGAGAATTCTGAGGAAATTTTGAGGGATTCTCGCCGGTTCCTGTGGACTCCTGACTCAATTCGTATATAAACTTTCATGATTAGTGAATAAACTCATTAGCCCCGCTGAGCGAGGCGAATATATATTGCAACACTGGACGGAAAACGTCCCAAGGCCGAGAGCCGATAATTCAGTGATAAAAGTAATGAAGTAATAAATTCAGTAAATTAATTTTAATAAATTGAAGAATACTCAGTAATAAAGTGATACTGTATCTTCACGAGAGCATCATCCATCATGTCGCTACGTCGCCCCACCCATGAGCAGCTTGTACTCGTCTTCAATCAGCCACCAGGCCACAAAGCGAGCTCTGCATGTCGTTGGAATTCGGAAAGGAACGAGGCAATACCTATCAAGGTCGGAGACAGTGTGGTCTGTCGTAGACGATCTCCGCACTCTGGCACCGCTCCTGCTACCATGAACGCACTCACGAATGCATGGTACAATCGGAATCCGATTGTATAGTTTCATGCTGAGCATCTGCGGAATACCAAGTTAATCTATCACGTGTTTCAGAAACCTTGGCAGATGGTTCGCGAGCTCATGTTGTCCTCGATACGGGAAGTGGTTTGTCGGAAGCCACTCACTGAGATACTCATTATTGGCTTAGACTTCGATAA